CTTTTAAGGAGCCAATTGTCATCTCATACTGACTGTATCCCCATCAATTCTGATAAATTCAGTGCAATAACACCCATTGGACACATTTCTGAAAGGGAGTTTGAGCCCTCACAGTCTGTCATTTGGTACATATAGGCCGTAAAACAGTTAAAAGGCATCACAGTTCTTCTGGTTTTTACTGGCCTCAGTAGGAACTGAACATTGCAAAATCCAGAAATCACATGTAAATATATAAATGACAACTAGTGCTTTTGAAAAACAAGGTTACTTATTCAGCTTACATAAAACCTAATGACTGCAAATCTGTTTAAATCTAAACTCAAAGTTTAAGAAAACTGTGTTAATAATGCCTGGCAGCTCAATATTTTTCTTTCTTTATACATCCATTTTTAAAAGATCACAGGGCTTTTTTACTGTTTTTTCCCCATTTTGCTGTTTGCTGAATGTACACCACTGTGATACCTCAGGATTTCTAGGATTTTTAGCTTTTTGTAGATTTTAACGTAGCTGTGTAGTCTGTCACACTTTAGAATAGTAGTTAACACTTACCAAACCCTATTCTCCATTTCATAACAAATTTTCTAAATTCATTAGGCTTGTTTAGACTCCTTTCAAGGCAGGACTACAGTAAACACATATGCACCCCAGACCTGAAATACAAGATACTATCATAGTCAAAGCAATCTTCAAGCCCAGAACCCTGGAGAAGCTCCAAAGACAGTACGTGCTGTGAAGAAGAGGAAGATGAGGAAGAAAGGGGTCTTGGGACCTCTGACTCAATTTCCAGGGAAGCGTGCCAGAGGGGCAGATTTGAGGAGGATCTGGGGGTGGATAGTTCTCGGATCAGACCATAAATTGTGGAACCCCTGGACACGGGGGGGCACTCCTTTGTACCTTCCTTGTGCCAGAAGGCCTTCATTAAAGACCTGCTATATTAAAGACCTATATCTTTGTCCTAAATTTGCCTGGTGAGTGTTTCTCCTGATTTTTTAGGCAACACTGTAATGCATCATGGTTTCATAATTTACCTGTAATTTTGCATGTGTCCACAGTACGAAATTCCATTCGGTTACACTTGCAAAACAGAATAATTTGTCTTTTAAAAGTTTTCCCCCAGCTGTGTTTTTGGAAAATGCAGGGAAGAGTTTGTCTTTTGCTGAATTGACTGAGGAACATAACTGATGCTGAATTTTAAAGCTTATACTCACTACAACATGATATGGAAGGGACTGAAGAGTCAAAAGAAAATGCTGATATTACCCTAATTTCATATGCAGATGTGATTTGTCTCATAAGGCTTTAAAGATTCATGTTAGCTTCATACAAAACTATTTCCAGTAAGAGCTACAAACACACCAATGTAAGCTTTTTTGTTTGTCTGCATTTATCACCCATGCACACACATTCAACACAAACATACAAAAGGATAAGAAACGTAAGCAATCCGAATATCTTTATTATTTTTTTTTTACAGATATATTTTTATACTTCTAATTTGAAAGTAACCTTACAAAAAAGAAGGGTGTACTCTTTCAAAATCCCAGATGCAAGGGCAATGCATGCTGAACAATAATACTTTCTGCTCTGGTGGGTACAGGCAATGGTTGGACATGTTGGTGAGACATGAGTTTTCCCTCTTTTATAAACACAAAGAAGAACATGTTCTAGAAATACTAGGGGCCACAAAATCTTGAGGACAGAAAATAAATCCCAGGTACCTCAAAAGAGAACCAATATGAACCTTGGATGAATTACAGTGGTTTAGAAGCTTCAAACAATACTGCCTAATCTGCTTCTCTGAGAACAGCTGAAAGGTGTGGACCTGGCTAGCCTGTGGGCACCTGCTGGCCCATGGTCCATGGCCCATGCTGACCCTTCATTTTATTGCTAAAATGACTCTGAATCTCCACATTTGCCTAAATGCTGTAAAAAATAATTATTCCTCTGAACACTTACTCTGTAAATACTTTTACTGGTATTCAGAAGTCATGCTTCATTACTGTCCTGCTTCAAAATCTTAAGTCATCCAAACTAGGTTTAGAAACTATACTTGATGGTCTGTGTGATCAATCATACAGGAATCTAGGAAGACAGGGCCGACTAACAGCTGAAAACAAAAACAAACTTGAATTCTGCGCATAATATGCACAGAGAGAACTTTAAATTTCAGGGACAAAATCTAGTGTTGCCTTTTTCATGTTTGCTAAAATGTTACCCAACAATTAGGGTTTGGTATGTTTTGTGATTGCAGTTTTATCATGGAAACCTTCTGTTTCCATGGAATTGTTTGCTTGAATCTAATCTTTCATTTAAATAAAAGATGATGATTTTTATTTCATTTTGATACCTAGATACATAGAGGTTTCACCTCTGTTAGTAGGCTTTTTTCCTCTTAAGCAATACAATACAGACACCAAGACATACACTCTTGTATGGCCAAAACATCCAAATACCAATGGCATGTGAACAGATGCAGTGCTCTATTCTGCAAACAGTTTGAAAAAAAGGCTCTGAAAGGTGTAACGTGACCCCTTTATAGCAATGGTATATTAAGTGTGAAATGGAAAGATATAATCAAGAAAACTATAAACATTTCACTCCTACTTATGTAATTCAGATCATAAAGTCAAGGTACTAACTGAGACCCTAGATATTATCATGCTACTAGATATAGACAAATTTTCTATGGGCTGCTGTCTAAATACAAAAAACTGTAGCTTAAAGGCAGTCAAGAGGGCAGATTAATAGTTTCTATACAATTTTTTAGCACATTGAGATGTATGGAAAGCATTATGTAAGTTGACATTAACACCAATAATAACATATAAATGTAAATTTATTTAAATTTGTGGTCATAAAATAAATACTTAAGAGGTGAAGCCCTTTATAAAACACCTGTTTTTCTTAAATTTCCCTTAATAAATTTTCCTTAATTTTAGAAAATTCTGAGTACTCACAGCGAACTAAACCACAATGCAAATGCAGTTCCTCCTCTTCTTCACTACTCTCTCTACATCTACGTTATACAGTGGGACGAGAAAAGCTCCTGAGTTAAACCCCATGGACTGTTACACATAGTGTCAATTCCAGAACACTGGTCCCAAAACTGGGAGTAGGGTATGGGAGTAATTCATCTCTGAAGCTTGTCTATGTGAACTAAAGTGTTCACAGAGATCAGTGTGAACTCTTGTGGGTGGAAGGGTCACGTGGCACAAAATGTCCTTGTCTGGAGCATGAATTCAGAATGGACAAAATTAATACTGAACAGATTGCGTTCTGCCCAAGTCAGGTCCAAGCAACGTCTTGGTTCACAGAGAAACACATGAGGTTTTATATTAATTGTTGAAACTGTGACTGGGTTTGAGAAGCAGAATTAATCTCCTTCCAGCTCTAGAAAATCTCTTTGTTACTGGGGCTTGCTTCTTATTTTTGCAAATAGCACAGATTTAAACAGGATCAAAAAATCCCACATTGATCCACCACTCTGAAGAATGTGTAACAGTGCTTAATGTAGTATCCCAATTGTTGAGAAGTCTTTCATCATATCACATGATTTTCCTGGTCACTCTGGTATTGTTGCCAGGGGTCTGAAGACGCTGACATAATAACCCAGACTCACCTGGGATCTCCATTCACACCCTCTGCCTGTGGGCCCAGGAGCTTAATTTCAGCACAGCCCTGGGCCTCCAGCTCTGAGCCAAGCTGAGCTGCAGGTGTGTCCGTCTCCAGCCCCGCCTATGGCTATGTTTCTTGGTGGGACCTGGGACCCGCACTGTAAGCAGCCTGCCTCCTGGTTGAACTCTCAGACCTGTGCTTACCTCCAGTCTTGCCTCTCAGCCCCATCTTATCTTTCTCCTGACTGGCTCCAGCTCTGATTTGCTGCTTGTTGTGCTGTTGATGCCCTCCAATGCTTGCATCTGATTCTACCTTCCATGATTAAGTACTTCGGAACATCACCCATTCCTAAGGGATGTTGCCTGTGCCTGATCACCTTTAGCTCCTGGCTCCTCCTCCACTGTGAGACAATCCAACTCCTTCTGCTCCCTGGAAACTGTAGGAAGGGGGGACATAGCTACTATGTTTTTGTCAGAAGTGCTTAGAGCATTGTGTGCACACCAGGAATAGTAGAAGAGCCTTATCAGGCTGAGGAATGGAGGAGCTCTGAGCTGCTCAGCCTTACCAGTGTGGTGACAGTTCTGTTCTGTGTGCTGACAAATATGCCAAGGAGATAATGAGTGAGTTTCACCCTGGAAGGTCCTGTTTAGAGATCACACTTGGCATGCTCTTAAGGCTCTGAAGTCCTGTTGGGGATCTGTGTCTCCACAGGGTTCACAGCAGCAGTAATTATGAAGTGCAGAGTCTATTTCTCATCCTGTTTCTGTCATGGCACCAGCCACTTCATCAGAGGACCTATCCCAGGATTTGGTGATTTTTCTTTATTTTTGCTGCTTCTACTTTCTAAACTGTAATTCTAGAGTAGCCACGAAGATTGGCAATCAACACTTTGTCTCTGACAACCATCTGCACAACCTATCTACTGGTAGCCTGCCCAGCTTTGCCTGCCAAAACAACAGCAGACATAAGTATTGAAATCTACCCCACGTATGGAATGGTTTGGCAGGTCTGGAGACTGCTTGCAGATCGGGAAAGAAAATTTGCTGTGGGCAGACACAGACTGGTCTTTCTGACATTCTGTTACGACCTGCCCCAGGAAAAGGGGAGAGGGGGTAACTCAGGTTTTTATCAATAATTCCCTTGGGGTGGATTAAAGTGAAACGACACTAAATAATCGGTGTCTGAAAACATATACTGACAAGGTTTATTTTAACAATTCTGTATCAACAGGCATGCTAGCAGTTTGGGTGCTGTCATACAACAATGTGACACAGAGATAACCTTTGGGGAGGAAGAAAATGCATAGGGGAGAGAAAGGCAGGATAAGAGCACGGGAGAGTAAGGGAAAGAAAAGCTGAGAGTGGATAGATGTATATAGTCACCGCCCACGGGGTCCAGCGATGCTTCCATGTCTGTCAGTTGAAGTGGTGACCTTGATCTGCTGGGGGTGAAGGAGGGAAACCCCCATACTCCAAGAAGTTATGGGTTATTATATCCATGGTTAGTGTCACGGGCCGTGCCTCAAGCCTCCAACATCTCCTGGGTCTGTGCTGAGTTTTTTTGTGTCTCCCCTGGTTCCCGCCTTTCAAGATTAGCAGAGGGAGGGAGGGGCCTGATTGCTCAGCCGATGTATCAACAGTCAAAAGCTTGCGAGCTCGGCTTCTTGCCTTTTCAGGGCTTCACACCTTCAGCTCTGGAGGGAGGGAGGGGCCCGATTGCTCATCAGAGGTATCATGCAAGTCAAAAGCCTGCAAAAGTCTCCTAGAATGCATAAATCATTAACCATTTCAGTCTCTGACACATTCCCAGGCAATAAATATCTTTGACTAATTTAACATAATTAACAAAAACAAAAAAACCCATTGCATTCCTTTTTTAGTCTTGTCTTCATGCTATCTTAAGTGCTAAAAAAAAAATGAGGTAATTTAACCAAAAGTCCCTGGGAAAAAAATACAAATCATTTGCCTCATAGAATAATTTCAAAATAAATTTTATGCCCACAGTTTCATGGATGAGATATTTCAGTATGATGATTTCCATCTTAATGGCTTAATCAAACTATTTTTAAGGTTTATGTCATTTCTTATTTGTCTGAACTACTTACTGAGTATAAAATATCTGTACAGTTCATTATTCCTTTTATATTTCTAAAGAAAGATGTGAGTCTGGTATGATTAGGGTTTTTTTTAGGGCAGTTCTTTGCTGGAAAAGGGAATAGTGTTTTTGAATTTTAGATAAAGGATTTAAACTTCAAAGTCTTTTTTTGTTCTTTTATCACTTTGTCCTCCAGTATGGACTGTTTTGTGTGTGTATATATATCTGTACAGAAACAACCTTCAAAGATCACAGGAAATTATTTTAGCAATATCTCAGAAGGTGGCCTCCAACAGCAATTTTTATTACTGCAAGGGATGCCATAAAATAGATTTTTGCTTCTTTCTGTTCCCACATTGAATTCAGGCTCTTCTCTATCAGGGACAATTATATTATTACTTCTTTATCCTCTAACCCACTCCTCACTGGTTCCCTCCTATCTCACAGGATACATAAGACTTTGGGAGAGAGTCCTCTAACAAAATATAATGGTATCTGCTATTTTTTTATGAGCTCAAGTTCACTGTACTATAAGAAATGAAAAAGATACACCCTTATTTTCTGTACTGAAAGACAAGAACAACCCAAATAAGCTCAGGATTAATTGTGCTAAATAATTTATCTATACTAAGGGAGAATGTTCACAGAAGCAAAAATGGGAATGTGGTAGGTGACAAGTCTGTTGAGATTTGATGGGGGGAAAAAAAAGAGTGGTGCTGTCTTCATTTGGGAACCTGCAGCTCAAACACCTTGATTCTGTAAAGTACTTTAGTACTTTAGGCCTATCTTTAAGCAATTCTCTTCTTTGTTAGTGTTATTCTTAGGAAAAAATTGGAGGCTAAGACTAAGAACACATTCCCAAATCTATGAAATAAATGGCTTTATCACAGTCTCACAGGAAGCCTGTTGCAGCCTCAGGAATTGGATTACTGCCCCCTTATTATGAGTCCAATACCATGACCTTAAATTAATGTCTTTTATGGCTATTCGGATAGGAAAATCTTTGCCTCTGTACATGTGTTCTGGCTTCTTAGCTCTATACTGATGGCAGGATTACAGATTCCAGTAGACAGGTCTATTTTTCTCTTTGTCTGTACTGTCCTTCAGCATTTGTACCAGAGTCAGTTTATTTTCTGTTTCTGACTCAGGGCAAGTGATTGTACTAATCAGATAAAATAGATCTCAAGTAACTATAATGGATATAGGCTCTTTTAAGCCTATTGAGACACAACAGAAGAACTAAGCAGCAACAAGATGTCCTTCTGGTAGCAAATGGTCTGATATGTTAGTGAATAGGAAGAAAACTCAATTAAATTACATTTGAGTTGATGTGGATGCACAGATATCTTAATGATGCTATTTAATTTTCATTGCAGTTTGTTAAATAAAACCGTGGGGTTTTTTGGGTTTGTGTTCGAGGATTTTGCTACTTGCAAATGAGAGGTGGGAGATTAATTCAAAGAAATTCATCTGTGATGAGAGAGAAACAACGTTGCTCCTAGTCAGCGTGATCCACATGAGACATAACATATTTACTATTGGGGGAGAGGGGAAATATGGGTGTTTAGTACAAGTTAACCAAGCACTTCACTGGAAGAAATTAATTTCTACCTCCAGAATGATCATATCACTTATTGTGGCAATGTAAGGACCCTACCTGAACAGCACATCTTTCCAAAGACAAGAGGGCATTTTTTAATATTATCACAAGCTATCCTGCATCTATTCTTTGCTGAAGTTTTCAGCTGATTCATTCTGGGGAGAATGTTACTTAACATACTACTTTTTTTTGTTTACAGTGAGATTTACTTTATAAAAAATACAATTAGAAATACATTAGAAATCGTGAGTATAACTTCTGTTTCAAAATCACCTTTCAGAATATTTGTATTGTACATTCATGGAAGGTGCTTTCACCTTCTCTTTAATAGTGCTGAGTGGATTTTTTTTAGTATAAAATATTAATTTTTCCATCTGAATAAAAAGGATTAAAAACAAAACTGTGCTTAGAAATTGCAGAAGTTCTGTAATATCCTTCACAATTAAAAAAAAATAGCTCATCTTCTGCATTCTTTCTTTGGTTTCACAGATGATTACTGCCAAAAGAGACTTTTCTCTGCTCTGTGTCTGGAAATGTACAAATTATAAATGAAGACAAAATATCAGTACTGAGAAAATCTTTTTGTTCGAGGACATATATTTTATGCTTCATATTTTATCAATCCATTAAAACACCTTGGGTATTAATAGAGCATTTCCTTTGCAAATAAAGTATAAAGCAAAAATAATGAGTCTTTCTCGAAATGATAACATCCTATCTTAAAATGTCTGGTGTTTCTAATCTAAGTTGTATGCCCATCTTATTCTGACAATCCTGGGGACAAAACATGTCCTTCAGAATGCCCACAGGAGCTCATCCAAGTGCCATGTTCCTCATACCTTTGTCTCCTCTGGCTGCAAGCTTTTTCTGAATCACTTTCTTGCTGTCCTTGATGATTGCTAATGTTGTATCTTTTCTGGGATGTGGAAACTGCTAACTCATGCCTCCTGTTGAGAAGAGAGGTGGTTTACTAGCACAGCCTTGACTGTAATATCTGAGCAGTCATCAGCGAGCTGGCAGTGGTGATCCAGCACCTGCAGCCATGACAATACCTTCTCTGGGTGGTGAACTATTCCTCACTCAGCTGAGGCTCAGCAGGAGCCACCCCTTGGAAGGTGTTTCTGGGTTTGAGAGTAACATAGTGTTGTCCCTGCATGAAGGAACCTCCCTAAATATCCTCCAAGGTCCACAAGGGATGCTAATGTGGTGCTGCTGGAACACACTGCTGAGCTGCCAAGTGACTCCCATGCACCTGTAACCCTGCTGCCACTTATGGCTCCCCTTGGCATGCTGAATTCCAGCTCTGCAGCTGCCTGACAAAGGAAAGAGCTCTGGAATAGAAAGTTCTTCAGGATAATGCAGCTGGTTAACAGATTCTTTCTTTCTAGTACAGCATCTGATTGGTGGCAAATTTTCAACAGCATGAGGGGAGCTTTGTCTAGAAAATAGTAGAAATTTCCTCAAATTGATGTTTTCATACATCTGGAGGACAAGTATCACTTGAGGTAAGTCTAAAAGATAAAATGTAATAAATATATAGTATAAACAAGGCCCACAAAGTTATAAAAGAATATGGAAATCACCTTAAAGACATTGTTGTAATAACTTATACTGAAATATATTTTCTAAGGCTGATTGGACCATGATTCACAATGCAATTTAAGAGAATACTTTGAAACAAAGAATGAAAGTTAATTTATAATTTTAATTAACACAGCTAATTAAAATAGAAATAATTTGATAGAGATTGCAAAAAATAGAAAACTCATATCTTCCCCAACTATTTTATTTGCCTTATATTCAGTGTGTTGGGTTTTTTGCATCTTTTTTTTAAAAGGCTGCTAATTTTCTTAGCGTTTGTAGTCTACAACTGGCTAAATGAAGCGAGTTTTTTATATTTTTTCTGTATTCTATCAAGCATAATTAAAACCCTCTTATTTCCCAAGTGTTTCACATTTCACATGCTTAAATATCAAAGATCTACCATTCAAAAAAAAAAAAAAATCCCTCATTCTGATAGCATCTACATGATCATAGTTGTTCTGACTCCTTGTAACATCATGAGATAGTAATATTAAGACAATACATTTAAGGGAAATAGAGAGTATTTTTAAATGCAAGATTAAAATCCAAACCTTATTAATTAAGTCTAAAGAACATAACCTTTTTTAGCATAAAACGAGAATACTTTTAATAGTATTTTTAGATGTATTTGTCTTGGGATTCATGATTTAAAATAAAATTTAAATGTAAAAAAAATAAACTTTTGGGTTCAAGTGATGGCTTATTATTATATAAAAGTATTTTTTATAAGTAATGACTTCACTAGCTATCAAATGAGAATAATTACTTTAGATAAGAGATGAAAAAGAGTTGAAGTAGGGTAAAAAAGGGGAAGCCAGAGAAAATGCTAAGGTTTTTTTGGTCAGAGCCAGTGTGAGTTATAAGACTATTCTGTATAGAAAATTACTTTTAAAATTTTAAACTAGATAACACTGAATGCAAATAACATTAAATAAGGAATTTATCAAATAAGTAAATAACTTTTAATAATCAACAATTTCATTGCATAAGCAACATGTAAACAAAGGATGGTGTGTAACTTTAACATAATTTAAAAGACATTAGAAATATTTTAGATAAAAAAGTTTTTAAATTTTATTAACAACTACCCTCAGACTTATTAAGCAAAATTCAATTAGACAATTGCAGCATTTTGACCATATAAACATAAAATCCCACAAGTCCATATAGCCAAAATAACTTAAGCTTTTCTAGAGCCAAGAGGAGATATATTTGTAGTTCTTGGAGAAATCAGGTAGAAGAAGTGAGGTGCTAGCTGTAGCTCAGTTCGAAGAAGTTTCATTGGAGAGGAAAGACCAGCGTCATTCAAGAACGTCTAGTTTTATGAAGTGCATCTTAGTGTTAAGCTAACAAACATTTTACATGAGAAGCTTTACTGCAGTTTACAAAAATAGGGTGTTCAAGAAACTCTTGTATGAAATGGTTAGTTGTCTTTATCCATAAGTCAGTAGTTCTGTTGATTTGATGAAGTCTGAAATATCATTGATTATACTGTCTAGCTACAGAATTATGTCAGAAGGAATTTGAGAGTAAGTGTAATTGTATATTGAATTTTAATCTGCTTGTTCGTACTCACTTAATTTTCATTGTTGGACATTGACCAATACACATTTTGAGATGCAAATGTGAAGTGGGAAAATTTAATATGTCATGCACGAAGGACTGACATTTAAAGGAATGGATATTTAATATAAGCATCCTCTTATGAATATAGTATCCTGAAGCACATAGACAAGGATTATTGAACCTGGATATTAAGCAAACTCAAGTTTGAATGTTGGATCATTAATGTGAACAATACTGAACTAGTGATTATATTGATTAGTAGTTATTATTGAAGTTAATTTTGTTGTCTCATAATGATTGGGTAATTACTTTAGGGTCAATGGATTCAGGTTAATCAAATGCTGACTGTGGAAATGACCATGGGAAATGTGTAGAGACAAACTGGCTGACTACTATTGGTCATTATTAATTATTAACATTTCTAGTTATTAAAATTTCTCAAAGGTAAGCCAATAAATTACTTTAGTTCAGTAATTTGTCTACTCGGTGCCTTCAGCATTGTACTTTGGAAGTCAAATCCAATGTTCTAAATACAATTAACATTGAAGTGATTTGACCCAGTTCTTACAAGATATGATTTCATCATTTGAGGGTGAGGTGGAGCATTGTTCAAACTGTGACACTGGTAGCTTAGGAATTCTTTTTCTTAAAACTAATTTCTACAAGAAGATCTTCTCAGTTTCCAGTTGAGAAAGAATATAAGAATAGAGGGAAATAAGGTAAAACTTAGATGAAACAGTACCATTTTTCAACAAACACGAAAACCTAAATCATAGTATATGATATAGCCTCCTGAAGGTTTTCAGTTTGTCCTTTCAATTTGTCATTATCACAGCTTAGATGTCATCTAGTCCAATCACCCTCCTCAAGCAGCATCAGCTAGAAGAGTTTGCCCCAGACTATGTCTAGACGAGTGTTGGATATATCCGGGAGTGGAAACTGCACAACCTGACTGGGCAATCTGTTCCAGTGTTTGATCACTCTCAGAGTAAAAAAGCTTTTTTCATTTTTTTATATGTAATTTCCCACAACTAGCACAAATGGGCACAAGGAAAAATAAAGTCTGCACAAACCAACATCATAACTTGTGCCTTTAACATATGTAGTCTGAGAATTTACACCAGCTGATTTTATATGTATATATGCTTCCATGCTTTTTTTTCTCATTCTAAATTACTCTGATTTTTTATTAGTTTAGTGGGATTTGTCCTGACAGTTTCATGTTGGAATGTCCATACATATGAAAGACTACCTTTTTAGAAATAAGGTATTTAAATTGAAATTCTATTTTTTTAAGATAGACTAAGGAGATATATAATATATATATGTAGTGCACAAAGAAAATTCCTTAATCCATGGGCATCACTGTTACCCTCACTTCCCCAGACCAGTGCATACAGCTGATTTGGCCCTTGGTTTTTGTGCAGCTCTAGCCTAAGTTCAACAAAATCCTAACCTCTGGAGGTAAAGCTGAGCATGTGCAGAGCAGCTCCATGGCATGTTTAAAGCCAGGCCAGGCTTGCAGCACTTATGGGGTAAGAGGAAAGGCATCACTGTGCTCCACGCCTCCACAGTAAGGCAGTCAAGAGGAGATATCATGCAGTGACACCTGAAGGGTTCTGAAATATACTCCCAGCAAAAAAATAACCCAACTGTAAGAGGATAATTGCAGTAATTTGGTGACTTGGATTTTGTGGTTGAGGAAAGCTCAGGTCCAACAGTATTTAAGATTTTATGAATTCAATTTGCCTAACGAGGTGCAGCAGAGGTGACACCATCCCTAGTGCAAAGCATGTTTTTAATTTTGACGAGTTATGCATGGCCAGAAACAACAGCAATTTCCTTTTGACAAGCATTTTTACTTATAAATCAAACTAGTGCCACAACAGCATTAATGCAAAAGGATAAGCAGATTAAACAAAACCTACCTGATCTTGTTCCCAGCTCTCATCCCACAAGTGTTCACACAACAAGACACAGACAAGCCTGTTACCTTTGGTTCCGTGGCAGATGACACCTATTTTATTCTCCATTAAAGAGATCCTGCATCCTGCCCTTTACTTCTGCACAGATCTGGACAGGGTGAGTGAGGGTCCATGGAACCAGGGGAGGCTCAGACATTGAGCTCAGAGGAGTCTGCAATATTCAGTATTTGAGAAGGTTTTGCTGAGGAAACCCTGGCAGAGGGGACAAGGTGGAGGAGTCCGTGCTCTTGAGAAAGAGAAAGCAAGATTGTGGGGGTGCCCAAGGAGCAACATGCAACTGAGAGCTTGTAAATGTAACAACGTGCAACTGAGAGCTTGTAAATGTAACAACATACAACTGAGAGCTTGTAAATGTACAGGACATCACTGTGACCTTATTGATGAAGTCACTAAGTCGCCTTTTTGGTTGGGTGTAACACTTTTATGATGTGGCAAAAAAAGTCTTAAAATTTGAAAAACATACTCATCAGAGAGTTTAAAAAAGAATCTCAAAATTACATCTCTTCCTAGAAGTGGATACTGCATAGAAATATTAAGAGCTAAAGCATTCGTCAACTTGAAATACCTCTTTTCACCAAAAGCTACTTTGTGTAAAACAAGATTCAAGTGGTTGCAGCTGCCTTTCAGTAACTTTGTTGTCATGCCACGGATGCCTTGTAGAAGTTGTACACGCTTGAATGCCACATAGCATGATCCTTTTTGCAAGTAAAATTTTGCTGTTTAGAGGGTCAAAAGGGAAAGAAACAACAAAAAGAAACTGTTCAGTCTGGTAAAGACTTGTGTAAATATTGTAACAATATTTCCCTGGTATCACTTCAGGATAAAGTAATAACTGTGCTATTGTGTATTTTTATAACAACAATGAAATTCTGAAGTCATATAACCTCAGAGCATCAGCAACTGTCTACTTTCTTGTTGAGAAATGGCAAAGAGGTTTTTTTCTCCCTCCATGCAATTATGCGATTTAGCCAAAGATGAAGTTCAATGCAGTTTTTAAGCCAATATTTGAAATTCTCTTTAGATATGTGTGCACATACGGTAGTCTGACCGCACCTGGTCTAATATCTCTTCTTGACAGTGATGTGCTTCAGTGGGATCACTATCAATCACTAGTTTTACAATACCGCTCTGGCAGCTCTTCTCACCACAAAGTAAAGGGGGGATACTCAGCACTGTAAAGGCCGCACACAGCTAATATCTGTCATAAGGAAATAGCATTCTTAAATCATTATTGTAAGAACTTAGTGGTCTTAGTCCCTTAACAGAGTGACCATCTCATTTTGATCTTCTCTTTAGGAAAGGATTATAAAACTACTGTTACTAGGTGAAGCTGTTTAAGGATATTTGTTACCTTAAAGATAGAGCTGCAATTCTATTCACCTGATCAAAATGGCTCTTCTCCTTCGTAAAGACCAACCTATATGTATACTCCATCTGTACATATATATATATGAATAAATGTATATCTTAATTTATATTTTTACTCTACCTATTACTCTTAATTATATTCCTGTATATAAAATAACCTAAAATTCTTTGACAATCATAACAATATTTAGTTATCTCTGTTGAATCGCACGATTTAAAGTTCAAATCTTTCTAAGTTTAATGATATAACGAACTAGATTTAATTTAAATATTGGAGGATAGAACTTTGACTTAGCAAACTATGATGGTTATGAACATAGGAATAAGGTATGTAGCATAAAAAGAGCTATGAAGAATCATTGAATTTCTGATGAGGAAAATAATAATAATTATATTGATCATAACAGGAATTAAGGCATCTGGACTAATATTAAAAATAGTAATAAGAATGGTTCATTCATGGAATTGAAGTCATACAAACACCTGTGCTTATAAATACAGTAAATAGATGGAAGAGCTGTTGATAGAACTAACATATCAAATTATTTAGTTTTGTGTTAAAAAAAAAAAAATTGAAGCTTTCTGTCTGGACTTGATAATTTTTATTTTCATGGTTATATAGGAGAAAATCTATTGAAACAAAATTGTACTAAGTTTGCTAGTTGTTTTCCATAGTTTCACCTAAATGTTTTGCTTTTAAATTCAATTTCATGATTTGCAGAAAAGCTAAGTTAAAAGAAACATTTAAATCAGACAAAAAGTAGTACGAGAAACAATATTGTCATGGAACTGATGAAAACAAAAAAATCTCATCAGAGTTATGACGAAGTAGTTAATGACCTGACAGACACTGCGAATGTTATTTGCAGAATACAAAACCAGAAAATAGAAATTAATTCCACACACTTTTGGCTTTGGAGGTTATAATTCTTCATTTATACTTTTAGATAGAAATTTCAGTAAAAACTATACATTCAGATGTTCTGTAGATCCTTTAATTTTATTCAGAGTAATATATGACAAGTATTCTTATATTTTATAGAACAAATACAAGCTCTTTACAGTTATGCTTTGTCAAATTCTAATACAGTCCTGTGTCTTACCAGATCTTCTGATACTTGGATCTTATTGGAACAGTGGTTTCACACTTTTCTTCATGGAACTGCAATTCGTGAATTATTTTGGGAAACCAATTGGTTATAGTGTGTGCACTGTTACCCGTGCCCTGAATCTTCTGTGGGTACACATATGAATATCTAAGTACATGGTTCCTTTTTTTCAGGCATTAGAATTCTGTTGTTCAACAGTTATTCAGATTATACTACTGTATTCTTGTGCTCTGTGTCTGTCAGTGTAACTGTTTCTTAAGGTACAATTTTGGTAAATGACTGCTTTAAATGCAAGATGAGAATATTGACATAGCAGACTGATTCACAATTAGTCCTTTAATTGCTTACAACTAATAAGATCAGGTCAGTAATACAATGGTCCTGTCAGGTTAACATCCAGAGAAAAGCTTTGAGAAGTAAATTTGATTAACAAAAGGAGTAGTAATATGGCTTGTTCAGCTACATTTGCATCAGAACTACAAGGTGGATTTTTATAGATTTAATAAGTTCTTTTGTCAACATTTTCTTGGTTTGGAAAGCCATTGATTTGAAAAACATATTTTGATATACACTATGGCCCAGATACTTTGCTTTACATGTCAACAGTTGCAAAGGGTATAGCCCCTGTGTTCTCAGTTCACTAATGCTTACTTAGGCTCTTGGAGTTTCCAGGAGACTGCAGTGAGCTGCCAGCTCCTGAGGGTAATGTAAATCTTCCATCAGTTTCTGGCATCACACACAGCTTACACATTGCAGAGCCTTAGTTAACATTAAGAAGTACTAAGAAAATATCCTGAAATCCTACTTTGAATGAATAGTGTTCACCTGCATTAATCTCTTGAGATTGTGGTATCTGTAAGGAGGCCTGTGATAAACTCATACTGCTGCTGTATATGGCAGGTGGTTAGTCAGCAGTCTGGAGTTTCTAGTTTACATTGCAATTTTGTGTAGACTCCTCTATGAAAAGAGAAACTACACAAGCACTTTCAGACACAGTTTTCTGCTTTATGGATTTAAAGCATTCTTAAGATCAGTAAAGGATAGCTGTAGCAAACTGGCAAATAAACATAAAAATGTTAAATATAGTTTAATACCCCTTTTCGGGTAAAAAGCTAAAATAAGTATTTTAGGATTAAGCACAGCTAAACCAAACATTTGTAGTAAAATTATGCAGGCCCATAACAGGTACAGATGGAACACGGTATTTAAAGATAACAGTGATAAGTTAAATGTAACTGTGGTAAGTGAAGTGTCAACAAAATATAAGGTCACAATAAATCAGCAACAAGAAACAAAGCAATATATTAGTTCAAGTTTGACTGAATGAGATATAAAATAACATATATTCTTGAAGAGGTCCATGGGAAAAACTGGACTGATTTTGAAGGTTTCATTGAAGTAGAATGCTTAGAAAAATATTTTGAATTGCAGCCATTGACATATACTATATTTTAAGATCTATGAAAAGATTTTATCTTTTGCAAAAATAAAAAACACATGAAAAAAGCAACACAGCTCAGTAAATCTAGGACACATTCAATCTACTGAAGTGTGTAAAAGCATAAAATACTAAATTCATCAAGTTTTAAGGCTAAATATACCATATACAAACACACGCTGTAGGTACTTTAAGGAAGAATAATTGTCTACATAGAGAAGAGAGAGCATAATGTTAGAGACTCATACAGATGGCCAGCTGGGAGTTGTTAAAGCTACAGTAAAACTAAATTGAATTTTTACATATATATATATATATTTGTTTTACAGACTTTACAAATAGTCCTCATGTCTAAATTACACAGAACCAAAAGAACTACTCTTAACTTGACATGGAAGAGAGACAACATTTTACATCATCATTTTTTTTTTCCTTCAGAGTTTAAATATTTCAAAATGTCATGTATTCAATGCAAAACTTAAAAGGAGTGCTCCATATCTACCATATAGGCTACCATATGGTAAATATAGTAATTTGCAGATCAATTGCTGGTCCACAGTAGGTCTCACTGATGTCAGTGTTTATAAGACTGGGCATTTCTTTGTGTTCTTATCCAGTTTTGATGAAACTCAGTTAAAGTTTATGTAAATAATACCATGGTGCTGTTTAAAAAACATATTGGGTTGCAGTTGGTATGCTGTCGCTGTTGGAACGGACTGTGACACAAAATATCCAGCAAGAAAGTTTATTGGAAAGAAACAGCAACCGCGGAGCTGCCTTTACAGTTCCTTAAATACAGGTTTTTAGGCATACGTATTCTACACAGATAGGTTAACTCAAATACACAAACAACAATTCTCACAGCTGATAGGTGGACTTTCTTAGTTCTACTTTCTCACAGTCTCTCTGCACATCTGTTCTTGTTTTTCTCTAATGTTTATATTTTTCTCAGCCACTTTGTTCAAAATAAGTCCTTGTTCTCAGGGGACTGCATCCTTGTTCTCACGGAGCAGTGTTCTTGTTCTCATGGGACAGCTTTCTCCTGCTGTTTTTCTCCTCTCTCAGGGTGCATCAGTATGCTGTCAGGATTAAGGCCTCCATTTTCAGTCACCTTTTCGTTCCATCTTAGGGTCTCGGTCCAGCTGAGATTCCCCACAGTATGCTTTTTGTTTCTGTTCACAGCTCTGATGCTTTCCCTTTAAGTCACGCAAATCTAGTCTGCAAATTGCTGAGGCACTCAAGATAATTAAATATCACAGCATTTTCCATT